GTTTATACATGTTTTTAGTGGATTCTAAAGACGTTAAATGTTTACTTCTATCAATATCATCAGTATCTCCAAACAACATTCGTTTTGTGGTCGACCAAAATTTGAGCATCTCAGGGATGGGAGGCTTCTCCTTGAACATTGTCCGTTGCTTGATGTGTTTCTCAGTAAGAGAAATTAAAAGGCTTGTATCTATAACTCGAGCACAAAACAACTCTTGACCTTACCCGCCATAAAATCCAACATCATAGTTGAACAAGGTCAAGAAAAGAATACCCGGTACTATATGGGACACGACCTTGTTAGTGATCAGTACAAAATATTCTGCACTATAGCGATATACTCTATATTTTTGGGTGATTTGAAGTCAGAGCATTGAGTGTTCGCAGTAGAAGCTGGAGGTTCGTGGAAAAAGGTTGTTCCTTTGAAATATTATCGTCCTCATGCCCCTCTCGCACTAGGATGGTCTACAAGTGGATTGGTAGTATACTATCGGGCTTGGCTTCATATAAATGGTTTTGCGGTTGTGAGTTTTTGAACCGTGGTCTTTGGAGGTTGACTATCTTTCTGAACCGTGGTCTTTGGAGGTTGGGGGTGCGGGTTTTCCTACAGTTAATAGAGAGGTGGATCTTATGGAGTATGGTGGAAAAATAGCTATTTTCGATCATAGCCACCTTAAATACGAGGGTTATGTGGATTTTTGGGTATTGGAAGATGCTGGGAAGAAGGAATGGTCAAGTCAGACTCTGGTTTTGCAGCCTTGTCATAGACACTTAGTCCAAGGCATTGATTTGATCGTAAAAGGTGTAAACACAAGTGATGCAAAATATGTAGTGCAGGAAATAAAAGACACAAGAGAATTTTTTACGAGGTTTGTTTCCTACTCCCCAAGACCACGTCCAGTAATCAAATCCACTAGAACCAGAAAGCAAATACAACTTATTCGCAAACGCGTAAATCAAGTAAAACTTCTTAATTTACCGCTCTGTTTAATAACATGGATTCTTCAGGATAACCTAATCCTGAGCTAAACTCCCCCTGAGCCTAGACTTGAGTTTTTGTGGAACCTCCACACACCAACATGCACGGTTGGCAACGACACACAGCCAACGGCACACAGCCACGAGAAACTTTCTCACCAACTCACTTGATCAGTTCA